ATCTATCTATCTATCTATCTATCTCAAAGTGTCTCAGCAGGGTGGCATGCAGGTGCTATTCCCACCTCAGTTGCTGATTCCCCTGGCCCTGGTGAAGCAATGACAGCCTCCCTCTGGTTTCAGTAGGCTGTGGATTGGGTTGGTGTTGCTGTGGTGGCAGGTCTCTTCCCCGTCTGTGCCTTCCACGTGCTGAGTGCTGGAGGAGACACAGCGAGGAGAGAAGCTCCCAGCATGCTCCCCCTGCGATCCAGCCAATGGTGCACATGAGGGGTGTGAGCTGGATTTTGCTGCATTGAATGGAGAAGCAGCCGCTGGCCTAGTAGAGGGGGAAGCTATTAGCCTGGCAGGGCACAAGGTTTAAAGCCCCCCATGAGTGACGTGCCCTGCTCTGCTTCTCTCCCTAGGCCCTTCCCTATGTCTGTCTGCTGATTGCCATGCTCTTCTTCATCTACGCCATCATCGGCATGCAGGTGAGTGCCAGGCAGGCCAGCTCGGGGGGGGCAGGACACCGTCACAGGCGGTGCGGAGTCCGGGCGTGGGAGTCCCAGCACTAGTGCCTTGGATTGGGAGTGAATCCTCCGCACACACATGGGGGTCAGGACTGTACTGGGCTCCAAGCCACGCATGTCATGCTGTGCCTGGGTGCGGGAGCAGGCTGTCTGCAGGAGAGAGATGAGGCCCCATCCCCATTGCTGTCTGAGGGCCCTCTGCCTTTGCAGGTGTTCGGTAACATTGGCATCGAAGACGAAGAGGAGGACTCGGCTATCACAGAACACAACAACTTCCGCACCTTCTTCCAGGCCCTCATGCTTCTGTTTAGGTGAGACCCTGTCCCTGGCAGAAGCTGGACTGAGCAGAGATCCATGTCCCATCCCCACTACAATTGCAAGGAAACTGACCTCCTGGGATACCTTGCTCTAATGCAATTGGTTGTCCAGCTGTTAATTAGCCCCCAAGCCCCACCCCAGAGGTGGCTGCACCTCAGCGCCAGGTGAGGGATCCGA